GTCGAGCTGAGTCTCTCCTCGTCTTGCGGCTCCGCCTGCAGCCTCGACTGCGCCCACGACTCGCTCTGCGTCGCTCTCGAGGGCGGCGGGTCTGCGAGCCTCGCGCCGCTGTGAACAGCGTCTCTTCACACCCGCAGCTGTGAACAGGCGGCGGGTCTGCGAGCCTCGCGCTCGCGCCACTTGAGGCCGGAGAGGCAGGCTCCGCGACCGTTGCAGTGCAGCCGCCCGTGCTGCTCCACTCTCACATCCGCGTTAGCTGGCGCCCGGTCGCGCCGCCGCCCGCCGCTGTGAACGGCGTCTTTTGACACCCGCAGCTGTGAACAGGCGCCCCGTCGCGCCGCCGCCCGCCGCCGCCACCGCCCGGCCAGGTCCGTTGGGCGTGCTGCTGCTGCTGGAAGCCGCGGCGGCCGCCGCAGCGGCGTGTGTGGCGGCGACGCTGTGGCCGGTCCTTTGGGGCGGCGGCACGGCCGGAGCAGGAGCAGCGTTTCCCCCGACGGCAACTGCTGCGGTTGCGGCGTGCGTGCTGCAGTCGGTGGCCGTTGCCCTACTGCTTGGGGTGCGCGGCGCGCGCCGCCTCTCCGCCCGCGCGCCGCCGCCCCTCCGCTGCTGGGCGCTCGAGCTGTCGCCGTCGCTGCCGCCCGCCGGCGCGCCGGTAGCGCCTGCGGGTCCTGCGGGCGGGAGGACGGGGGCGCAGCTGCCTCCGACGGCCGGAGAAGCGAAGCCGCTGCGACGGGTTGGCGCCGGCGACGACGACGACCCCGCCGAGCTCCCCGTCCCCGCCTCGGTCGGCCGCCGGCAATACCCTCAAAGCGCCGCCGACTCTCCCGCCCGCGCCTGCGACCCGCTGCCGTCGCCCTCGGCCGCGTCGCCGCTGCTGCCGCCGCTCGACGCACCCCCATACACCTCAAACTACACTCCGGCGGCGTCGCCCGAGGCGCCGGCCACGCCGCCGCCCTTCTTGAAGCGGCGAGCGCGCTCGCAAAGCAGCGACGACGGGACGGCTGCGGAGGAGGAGGACGAGGGGGAGGTGCAGGAGCTGCAGGTGGACGCGCTGCTGGCGGACATGTGCTCCGAGGAGCACTCGGTGCTGCACGAGGCGTGCGCCGCCTTCCGCGCGGCAATGCAGCCTGGCGAGGCGGGCCTCGTCGCGGACCTCTGCGGGCAAGGCACCTGAGATACGGGGAGAGATGGGGAGACTATGGGGAGAGATGGGGAGAGCCCGTTCTACATCGACTCCGTCAAGGCGTTCCGCACATCCCATACCCCCACGGTACCCGCGCCCACTCCCCTACCTCCCACGGTACCCGAACCCAAAGGCGTTCCGCTGGCGATGGAGCCGAGCCTGCGCGCGCTGGAGGCGGGCGTGATCAGGATCAACCAGGCGCTCGGCTTGGCGCTGCTCGTCCGGAACGACGAGGCCAACCTGCGCAAGGTGCGCGACGCAGCCTTCACCGCCGCGCAGGCTGGCCGGCCGTGTCGCCGCTTGGGCGCGTTGCTTGAGGCCGAGGTGGACGCGGGGGCTCACGCGTTGGCCGAGGGGGACGGCAGCGCACAGCTCGCGGACCCGTCCGCTGCCATCGCGCTGCTG